TAAAATTATCTAATATCTATTTCAGTTAATGTTGATGATTGCGTTGTTCCTTAATCTTCGAATTGGATCAGGCTTATTATTTTTTGCAGACTGTAAGAGCAATTTTATAAAAGTAAACTTGAACTTTCGATTATGTCAAATAGAATTTCCGATATATATTTACTAATATGTAAAGGATCTACAAAGTATGTAAAAAAAAAAAAGTTGTGGTTGGATAAAAATGCACTTGGTTACATATGCGGCATTAAACTGACATTTCAAGTTTAATAATTAAACGCAAAAACAAATTTAGATGGAAAAATCAAAATTTTATGCATGCACACACACACACACACAGGGGGGAGGGTAAAGATGAAACTTATTTGTTTATTTTTATTAACAACAATTTATCCTTGCACTGTAATACATAAGAATTATAACTATCTCTGCCATATTCACTAAATGGAAAAAATTAATAAAAGTTTATATTAGGATATTTGAATACAGCAAAGAATATGAGGGCATTAAACAGAAAGTGGAATCGCTGCAAAAAATGGATAAAGACATATCCTTTGATTATCTAATCATTCCGAAATATGTTTATCAATTTCACGCTGCTCTGCGGGGGAAGGGAAACGACACGGCGCGCAATGAATTGGAAGTTGATCTGTCAGCACTATCCTTATCTTCAGAGCAGATGTTTTTATTTTATTTGGCTTATAATTCTTTACTAAATGCAGTATTTCATCTCGATGTACTCGGTCTTTGATATGATTTAAATCAAGTTCCTAGTCATTATAATTCGCTTCCGATAGTGAAGAAAGTGACTCAGAGGTTATTGAAAACGAAAAAATTTCGATTGACAAATTAGTCGGTATTCTCGACACAGCAATTGTAGGACTTGAACAGCGGAACTTTGTAACTAAACAAGAAATTATGTCTGTTTAATAGAATTAAAGAGAAAGTATTATCACATGAAACGAAGCAAATTAAACAACTTACATTGAAAGAAATGTTTAATAAAATAAACAAATAAATATTTAGCTTTTTCTTTTTGTAAATTTTGATACCCTTTAGATCATAATTGCTCTTTATTTCATAAATTACGGTTTCATATTTTTAATTTTATAATTTCTGCATGCCATCTTACCAGATTTAAACTGATGATCTATAATCCGGAAAAATCGATAATCCGGAATCGCCGAAGTCCCGACGAGTCCGGATTAACGATTTTTGACTGTATTATGCAGCAAGGATGATAAATACTTCAATAGAATAACAAAATGTAGCCCAATGAAGATTCAAGAAAAAAAGATTAAGAAATGCTTCATGTTTTTTATTACATTGTTTCTTAAGCTAAAAAAATTTAGAACTTACCTGTGAGTGATTTTGTTTTCTCATAAGCTCAAGATTTGATTATCTCTGAAAACAATCATCTTGCAGAGGTAAAATGGCAGTATCGAATTAAAAATTTCTAGTGAATCCAAAGTAAAAATGAAATAAGTTTTGTACACACACTGCAGTTAAAAAAAAAAAAAGTTGTGGTTGGATAAAAATGCACTTGAGTTACATATGTGGCATTAAACTGACATTTCAAGTTTAATAATTAAACGCAAAAACAAATTTAGATGGAAAAATCAAAATTTTATGCATGCACACACACACACACAAGGGGGAGGGTAAAGATGAAACTTATTTGTTTATTTTTATTAACAACAATTTATCCTTGCACTGTAATACATAAGAATTATAACTATCTCTGCCATATTCACTAAATGGAAAAAATGAATAAAAGTTTAGATTAGGATATTTGAATACAGCAAAGAATATGAGGGCTATCTGCCTACCCTAAGGAAAAATGGCTCACATTTACGTTACACACAGGAAAAACCATACAGCCAGTACTTTCACCTATGATCAAACTTCCAGCATTCAGCAGTCTTAACTACTCAGCTACGTGTGGGACTAAGTCAATAATCAGAATTAATATTTAGATATTCTATGACTTGAACCTAAGTATAATATATAGTGTTCATTAAAATGTTTTAGGTAAATCTAATATAAAAAAAAAACTTAAATGTTTCATTTACTGATATTTTATGTATGAAATATATGTCTTTCTAGAAAAATTTTAATTTGCTTAGATAAGGAGAAGTCTTTTGGGTAAAAAAAATCAGTATGTTGGGGTTCTCCATCCACACATTAATAGTTCAAAGCACATTGAAATCATTAGAAATGGGCTAGCCGTAAAGGTGGTTTTGTGGTTTTTCTGGATCCTAAATAGAATACCAGCCATAAAGGTAATTTTTATCTTTAGATAGTTAAGTCATTGTGTGCTTTTTCATAATCATTAAATGCTATGTTACAGAAATTTAGGTCAGTTATCTAATTTGTGATTATATTGCTGAAATGTGTAAAGCTTAGTTAAAATTTTGATGTAAGCACAATATCAAAATACCACACTATCTTGAACTTTTAATTATATCAGTCTTTGGAAGTTTTAAGGTATTTAATTTTTAAATGTGTGAGTAGTAAACTAATACATATCCATGTCATAATACATTTTAAGCTAATAATGAAATGCAAGATCATCACAAAGAAATTGGATTATTTTTATAATTTAACTCAGAAACATTAAATCATTATTTAGCATTTTAATGTACATTTTTGAATAAGAAACTTGATTATACACAGATCTAATGCTTTTTTAGAATGAATTATAAATAATTAAGGACATCAGCATCTCCTCAGCTGGAAATGTAACCAAAATTAACGAAACCACAGCACTAACAATTCTGTTATTAAATCAGCTATTAAATAACAAATATAATTACTAATTTTTCAATAATTTAAAGTGATTATAAAAATATTTCACATTATAATATAAATGTTTCTCCCTACAAAATGGTAAAAGCATTAAAATTATTGACTAGCTTTTGAACAATTAAGTACTATGTGACGTCATTAGATTATTTTGAAGCAGGAGGTGTGAAAAATATGCAATGTTCTCACAGGAACCCTGGAACTCTCGAATATGCATCGAGTCTGTTTTCAATTACACCATGAAGACATGTGGAAGGACAGGAGAAAATACTTTTTAACTATCTTACAAGTAAATGATCAACAAACATTTTGAAAGGAACAGAGTACATCTACAAAGAATATATCAGGACAAACTGGCAATATTTGAGTTGATCTTTATTACTAAAATAACATTAAAATACAAGTTCTAGTAAACCAGAAGAAATATTAAATCATTATTTACCACCTTAATGTGCATTTTCGAAAAAGAAAATTAACTATACAGAGATCTAATGCTTTCTTAGAATGAATTATATAAAGAGCTAAGGATGTCAGTCAGCATTTCCTCGCCTAGCACAGGAACCCATAAATTCAAGAAATCAGTGTTACCTACTCTGCTATTAAATCAGTTGCACATTAAAGTTTTAATCTTTAATTTGCACAGATTTAATCAATATATATACTAATTTTTCAATAACTGGAATAAAATCTTTAAATCTGTTTATTTTTATGGAGTCAATCAACAGTTTATTTTTGTATTTCTTATATCAAGTGCCCAGAAAATATCCAGTATGATCATTATGTATTAGTTTCTATACTATATTAACTTATCAGTTGTATTTTGCTGTTTAACTTGAAGCAAAAAATTAAAATCAATGATAATTAGCTTTTAGTTGCCTTTCATTTTTTAATTAATCTCAAATCAAACATAGCTCAGTTTGCTTTATAAATGAAGCTAGCTATTCAACAGAAAATTCTTCAGCAAAGCATGTGAGTGCTATTTGTCAAAAGGGAGGAGTACTTTTGTGGAGGACTTTATAGAGGAAACTGGTTGGTATCCAAGTTACACATTGGAAATTTGCAAAAATGCTCATGTAGCCAACCCTTTCGATTGGAATCCAACTCAAGGTCAAACTATTAGTATTCAGTAACTTTACTGCTTGGCCACTGATGGGATCCAAATCAAACATATGTTTAATTATTAAATGAGCTATTGAACAGAAAATTCTAAAAGAAACGATAATTACTTATCCAAAACAAAAGTAACATAAATTTATCCAAACCATTTTAATTTGCTAATTAAAGGATATTTAAACAGTTTATTTATAATTTGAAACCATGCAATATGATTTCTTAATTTTTTACAAGGTTTAACCATATACTTATTATTAACTAATTGTATGAGGTGCATAGAAATTTGATGAAAATCTCAATTATAAAGTATAATTTACATATCACAATGACAAGTTTACATAAGTAGTTGAATCAAGGATATTTTGTTGTTGCATATCTGTTACAATATAAAAACAGGATCAAATTAAATTAAGATAAATTAAAATTATTAAACATTTATTATTATACTTGTTTTGTGTTATAAAAACCTGCTGAAATCGGTGTAGAGTAATAGCTATTCTGATCATTCACAATTTACGAATTTTATTTGAGAAAAGATAACGTAAGTTCAAAATTATAAAAGAACAATCTAACTATGAGATGATAGAAAATAAAATTAGGACTAATATTTTGAAACTACATTTGTTCAAAGATTAATAAACCATGCTTCATATCGAAAGACATTTGATGATCCTGATAAAAACTTAATTCAGGAAATACTGAAAAATTATTTCAGTGATACGAATTATTGTTATAGTATTAAGTGATTAAAAAATATTTCAGAGTATACTGTAAATGCTTCTCCTTATAAAATAGCGTTTAATACGTTAAAGCATTAAAATTAGTGATTAGCTTATGGAAAATTTCTGTCTGCATACGAACAACAAAGAACAAAAAATTTCAGTAAAGAACAAAGAAATGCGTGAAAATCCCCAAATCACAACAAATTGGCGATATTTCAGTTGCTCTTCATTACTATGACAAACATAAAGTTCTTCTTCTAGTAACCCGGAGACAACGCTCTTCATCTGAACGTCATGCGTGATTGACATTCATTATAACCAATGAGAGGGTGCCATTTAGTGGGAGGAACGAGAAGAGGTCCGGTTAATAACGTGTCCCGTTGCAGTACTCGGCAAAATTTTGCGTTATTGAAGTTTGTGGTCAAATTTCTTGAGTTTTTACTTATTAATCTATCTCTGGCCATCATGAAGGTTGCTGTTGAAGGTTGTGCTCATGGAGAACTTGACAAAATTTATGAAGCTGTTAAAATCTTAGAAAAGGAGAATAATATGAAAATCGATCTTCTGATTATATGTGGAGATTTCCAAGCTGTAAGGAATCCAGCTGATTTACACTGCATGGCTGTGCCGCCTAAGTACAGGAAATTAAATACGTTTTACAAGTACTATTCTGGGGCGAAAATAGCTCCTGTTTTAACTATATTCATTGGTGGAAATCACGAGGCTTCAAATTATTTATCGGAACTATCATATGGTGGTTGGGTATGCCCGAATATTTTTTACATGGGATATGCTAATGTTATAAATGTAGGTGGTATAAGAATTGCAGGCCTGTCAGGTATCTATAAAGGTCGTGATTATTTGAGAGGTCATTTTGAATGCCCGCCTTATGAGGAATCTTCGAAGAAAAGCGTGTATCATGTTAGAAATATTGACGTATTCCGATTGAAACAAATAAAAAGTCCTATTGATATTTGTATATCACACGACTGGCCTCGAACTGTGTACAATTACGGTAATAAGGAAGATATTTTGCGTTGGAAGCCGTTTTTCAGGGAAGAGATGGAAAACAACAAACTAGGAAGTCAGCCTGCCGAAGAATTGCTCTACAAGTTAAAGCCTGCTTATTGGTTTTCTGCTCATCTTCACTGCAAATTTGCTGCTGTGATTCCACATCAGAATTCTGAAGGAACTATGTACACAAAATTTCTAGCTTTGGATAAGTGTCTGCCACGACGTAATTACTTGCAAGTTCTTGAAATAGGGAACAAAAGCGAGGCAGTAGATATAAAATATGATCCAGAATGGTTGTGCATTCTTCAGACCACTGATCATTTGTTAAACACATCGAAAACGTGTGTTTATATGCCAGGACCTGGAGGTAAAGAAAAATGGGATTATACTCCGTCGAAAGAAGATATACAAAGAATTACCGAACTCTTTAAAGGCGATTTTAAGGTACCAAACAATTTTTCAGTCACAGCTCCAACTTATGATAATTCTCAAACAAGCAATGATTTTACTGTAAAAAATTATATCAACCCACAGACTACAAGCTTTTGTAATATATTAAATATAACTGATCCATTTGCTGTTGTGTGTAACAGTGATGGTGAAAGTTTAAATACTAGTGGACTTTCAAGTACAGGTTTAGATTTTAGTTTTTCCACATCAAATGCTGATGAAATATCACTTAGTGATATAGAGGACGCTACTGAAGTTCTTTCACCAAAGAATGATGATCTAGATGTTTCTGATTCCACTGACTTTTTCATAGACACTGTTGGATCTAACATGTCACCTAATGTACAGAAATTTTTGAAAACTCAGCATTGTAGTACACCAATTCCGAAATTTAACATTGACTCAGATTTTCATTTTCCTGAAAATAAAGGAAGAAAACATAAACAGTGAGAAAAGAAAATCTGATGAAGAGGAACAGCCGGTAAAGGTATTTAAACGAAGAAATTGGTCATTATATAAATCTGAGGAAGATGGTTCAGCATAATGGATAGATGCAATGGTAACTTGAAAGTTTAAAGGGAGTTTATCTAAATTAACACCAATTCCGAAATTTAGTACCAATTGTAGTACAATACCACCAATTGTAGTACACCAATTCCGAAATTTAACATTGACTCAGATTTTCATTTTCCTGAAATAAAGGAAGAAAACATAAACAGTGAGAAAAGAAAATCTGATGAAGAGGAACAGCCGGTAAAGGTATTTAAACGAAGAAATTGGTCATTATATAAATCTGAGGAAGATGGTTCAGCATAATGGATAGATGCAATGGTAACTTGAAAGTTTAAAGGCAGTTTATCTAAATTAACACCAATTCTGAAATTTAGTACCAATTGTAGTACACCAATTCCGAAATTTAACATTGACTCAGATTTTCATTTTCCTGAAATAAAGGAAGACATAAACAGTGAGAAAAGAAAATCTGATGAAGAGGAACAGCCGGTAAAGGTATTTAAACGAAGAAATTGGTCATTATATAAATCTGAAGAAGATGGTTCAGCATAATGGATAGATGCAATGGTAACTTGAAAATTTAAAGGCAGTTTATCTAAATTAATAATATGTTGTGTATATTTGTTTAAAATTCAAATTGAATAAAATATGTGCTTATCCTTAGTTATTATACTGAGAATTTTTGACATATTGACAGTAATGAGCATTTTCGATTAACAATATAATTAGGTTAACATTAGCAATATAATTAGCATTTACAATATAATTTATTACTTAACATATTTGAATGTAAGCATGTAAAATTTACTACAGATATATATTAGTATCTGGGTAACTGAAAAAAATAAGTCTGATTTTTATATGATGAATTTGTATAATTCCGTCCAGTTGCTATCTTCTTAATGCCTGTAGGCAAATAGCTTTGTATAAAAGAGACTAACAATTTCTCTTTTTTTAAGAGTTTGCTATCTTTGTATTGAACAAAATGATTAACAGAAGTTATCTTGATTAGTGTCAAACTTTGAGTTACATTATTTGTATATTTTCTATTGTGTGTAAATATTTAATTATAAGAGTATTATTGAACATGTAAATAATCAAGTTGTAACTTTTTCATATTTTATTAATAAACTTAATTTTAAGTCTGGAAGAAATTCATATATTTTATCAAAAGTGAATAATTTGATGTAATGAAATTTAACTAAGGTATAAACAATTTAATTAATATATCCTTAAATCTCTTGCTTATTAGAAATAAAGGCTGATCTTTGGAATATGGCAACAGGTAGTTTGGCGACATTTTGGAGGCGATAAAGGTTACTACCTAGGACTTTGGTAATAATGTGAGAAGCACTCAGTTCCGATTATGCATTATTTTGTGTGAGGGAAATGAGAGATCATGAGATATGTCATGTGACATTAATGGACGAATTATAGTTCTTTAATCGGAAAAGGGAATAAATTTGGAAAAATTATTTTGTATTAAGCTTCATTGTGTGTTGTGTGAAATAGTGTTGATTAATTTTCGGATTGCATGGCGCTATGTAAAGTGAATTATAAATTTTTAATACGTAATAATTAACAATAAGTTGACTACTGGATTTCGGATTTAGAAATTAGCAGTAGTACTGCAGCCGATTGGAACTCTTTCTGAAGGGAAGTGTGTGTGCCACGTAATGAAGATTCTGAAGAAGATTAGGTAAGTTAGTATTTTTAATCATTTGAGGATATTATTTTTTATGCATTGTTCTAAATGTAAAGAGTAAATAAATTAAAATGGTATTATTGGAAAATTATTATTAGCAATGATTTAGTTTAAAGTAATTAGGATTGCAATCTAATTTTTATTAATTTAATGTATGTGCTTATTTATATTTTAAGTAGTGTTTTTTAATTTAATGATTATGATTTTGTGAGTTATATGTTTGTAGTATTTTGGAATACGTTTGAGTAGTATATGTTGAGTATTTTCATGCATTTTCGTGAAATTTTTCTAATTTATGAGAAAAAAGCAGTGTACATGGATATAGTGAAGAGTGTGCACAATGGCATTTTTGTGCAATTCTGGGATGTTTTTTTAAGTAAAAATAAGTCATCGTGTACATGGTTTAGTGATATTTTAATTAAATGATAGTTATTTTGTGAATTTTATGTTTGTAGGAATTTGGTATACGTTTCAGTTGAAGTAAACGTGTATGGAAATAATTTAAATATTTGACACTAAGTATTTGTAACTATTTTTAATGTTTGCATATAAATTCGTTGCTGACATTTATAATATAATAGATAATTTAGAGGTAAAAGCTTTTGGATATTTTATTTATTTTATACTTGGAAATGTTCATCCTTGGAAAGGGTATATACTTTTTCACGATCAGGTAATTTCATATATGTGCTTTTTACCGAGTTTAAAGATTAAGAAAATTTTCCTGCATTTTCGTGCAAATTTTTGTAATTTATAAGAAAATAGCAGTGTAGATGGATAAAGTTAAGAGTGTGTGCAATGCCATTTTTGTGCAATTCTGGGATGTTTTTTTAAGTAAAAATAAGTGAACGTGTAAATGGTTTATGTGTATGTGCTGTTCTGAAAAACGTGCAAGGAGTTTGCGATTGTGCACTTTTTTCCCAATTTTGCAGTTAATATTTGTCATGAGTAAGCAGTTTTGTTACATAAAATTTCTAGCATAAGTGTAATTCGGCTAGTAGATTGTTGGAAAAAGTGTTGAGTAAATAAAAAGAAAAGAAATATGTCTTTACTTCGTGAAGACAAAATGGCGGCGAAAAAAAAAGTAGAGAGTTGCTGTAGCGGAGTTGGTCGCCAAATTTTCGCAAAAAAATCGCCAAATTACCATAATCCAAAGATTAACCGAAATAAAAATTGATCATAAAGTAATTATGACTCGAGTTAAAGAAAAAATTGTAGGAAGGCCTTTTTCTTGCCTTTTATGAATTAAAAACCTTTCTTGAAAATAAGTATTAAAGTTTTGGTTAATTTGAGTACTGTTACAACTTAAATCTTGTAAAATACCTAAAAGCAAAAGGCATTTTATATATAAAGAAATTTCTAAGTATCTTCGGTCTTTCTAGATTTGTTTCCATTATTTGAATTGCAATTATTAGTAACTGTGGATATGTTGTAAAAATTGACACATTTGTGAAGGTGACACTAGACAACAGAGCTGATTGTAGGTTACATAAATTTGTACAGTACAAAGTATTTAATCTGGAATGATCTATAATCCGGACCTCAAAGCTACAAACTTTCTGCGCATGCGCATAATACGTTTACTCATGTGCGTTTAATGTATAACGGACGGTATAAACTAGGCTAAAATTATCTATTTCAGTTAATGTTGCAGATTGCATTGTTCCTTAATCTTTTAATTGGATCCGCCTTATTATTTTTTGCAGACTGTTAGAGCAATTTTATAAAAAGTAAGCTTGAACTTTTGATTATGTCAAAAAGAGTTTCCGATTCTGGAGCTGCCAAAGGATCTACAAAGTGAAAGCATGTTTCGATGTACCGCTTCCGATAGCGAAGAAATTGACAGAGAGGTTGTTGAAAACGAAAAAATTTCGATTGACAAGTTAGTCGGTATTCTCGACACAGCAATTACAGGACTTATAGAGTGGAACTGAACAAGAAATTATGTTTGTTTATAGAATTAAAGAGAAAGTATTAGCACAAAAAACAAAGAAACTTAAACAACTTACATTGAAAGAAATGTTTAATAAAGTAAACAAATAAATATTAAGCTTTTTTTTTTTTTTTTTTTTGTAAATTTTTATACCCTTTAGGTCATAATTGCTCTTTATTTCATAAATTATGGTTTCATATTTTTAATTTTATAATTTCTGCATGCCATCTTACCAGATTTAAATTGTTGATCTATAATCCGGAATGCCGAAATCCCAACAAATCCGGATTAAAGACTTTGTACTGTATACTGTCAGGGCCAGATTTAGACTTGATAAGGCCCTATGCTATTTGAGATATGAGGCCCTTTATTAGTCTAGATATTCTCTGTGTCAAATATGATTTTCGAATACTTAGTGGGTTTTCTTGGTGGCCTCTAAGAAAGCGGGGGCCCTAAGCTATAGCTTGTGTAGCCTTATATGTAAATCCTGCACTGTACACGGTATCTAAGTGAAAAAAAAAATTATTTGGTACTTTGTCCACCAGCATTTGAGTGGTGAAGTCAATGAACACTGATAGTGTGGTCTCAGGTTTGAATCCCACGAACGGGCTGGCTGCATGGGCATTTTTGCGTTTTTCCCCATGAGTAATGTGCATACCATAGAGCTGTAATGTACTAGAGAGAGAAACGGCAACCCTGAAGGGGAACAGGAATGGGAACCACGTGACATTTGGAACATTTCCCAGATCGTATTTCCCGCGGATCTTCCTTACCATTACAGTTCTATGGAGAATTTGTGAGAAGCAAGTGTTTTGCGTGTACGCGCATTGTTTCGGACTTCAAAAATGGTACTTTCGTGCTCCGTATATGGATGTAATTCCAGATATGTGAAAGGTGGAGGAGTAACATTTCACAGGAGGAGAGCTTTTTCTAATGTTTTAAAACCTATTTTTTATAAAATGTAGAGGTTTTTTTTTATCCAACTCTACTTGCCGTTTTCTAATAAAAATAGATTTTCTAATTTTATGTAATATATGCATACTTGAAATAACATTTAAATAAAAGTATCTTAATATATATGTATGTTTTCTAATAACTGTGTTCTGAAAAAAATGTTAAAATTTTAGTAATATAATATAATTTTAATTAGTCTAGTATTCTGCTTTGGCGACATTTTTTATACGCCAACAGACTTTGCTTTGAATGCGTTTGTTTAATATATTCTTTGTATGCGTTTGCTCATGCGGACATGTGTGCGAAGTAGTAATGTATGTATTTAATACTTGGTAATGTTCATGTAACACTGTGTAAGAACTGCATAAAATTATGTTTTTGGGGGGGGGCATGAATGACTTTATTTTATCCCCTTTTCTTGCATCCAAATATAACAAATATGTTTACTTTCAATCACTTATTTTCTTTCTTATATCATGTTTCTGGCATTTATTCAAATATTAAGAATTTGTTAAGTATTAAAAAAATAGTAATTATAAAGCAGTTAAATTTCAAAACTTTAATAGTTTTAAGTTTCTTTTTAAAAATAATGAACATTATTTAAATTTACCTTCTAAAATTACTTAAAATAAGTGCAATTACATTGTGCAACGTGCATAATATATATATATATACAGTCAAAAGTCGTTAATTCGGACACCCATAATTCGGAATGATCTATAATCCGGACCTCAAAACTAAAAACATTCTGCGCATGCGCCACATTGACACATGCGCATAGGCTTTTACGCGTGCGTGTAAGACCTTTTACGACTGCGCATATCAGTGTGCGCAAGTGCAGAATACGTTTTCAAGTGCGCGTTTTATGTATAATGGACGTATAAGCTAAAATTATCTAATTATCTATTTCAGTTAATGTTGATGATTGCGATGTTCCTTAATTTTCGAATTGAATCCGGCTTTATTATTTTTTGCAGACTGTAAGAGCAATTTTATAAAAGTAAGCTTAAACTTTCGATTATATCAAATAGAATTTCGGATATATATTTGTTAATATGTAAAGGATCTAAAGCGAAAGTATGTTTTCGAAATCCGAAATCTGTTTATCAATTTCACGCAGTTCGGGCGGGGGGACGCATGCCTCGGCGCACGCGTAATGATTTGGAAGTTGATCTCTGTCATCACTATCCTTATCTTCAAGGCAGATGTTTTTATTTTATTTGGCTTATAATTGCTTACTAAATGTAGTATTTCATCTTCGATGCATGCTCCGTCTTTGATATGATTTAAAACAAGTTCCTCGTCATTATAATTCGCTTCCGATAGTCGAAGAAAGTAACAGAGGTTATTGAAAACGAAAAAATTTCGATTGACAAATTAGTCAGTGTTCTTGAACACAGCAATTATAGGACTTGAACAGCGGAACTTTGGAACTGAACAAGAAATTATGTATGTTTAATAGAATTAAAGAGAAAGTATTATCACATGAAACGAAGCAAAACTTAAACAACTACATTGAAAGAAATGTTTATTTAAGTAAACAACTAAATATTAAGCTTTTT